ATTTAAATGCCCTTAAATGTAAAGGAGAGTTAGACAAAGGCTATGGGTAAATCCTTTTATGTGCCACCGATTCTGTAAGATCTTTCTTGACCCCCAAACTCCACCCCAGACCAAGTTCTTCAGATATCCTTGACCCCTAATGACCAACTGTGTTACAGCAAATGACCTACAAAGATTTTTCCTATAGCTGGCCTGATAGGAGAAAACTATGGATGGCCTGTTTTTTTTAAAAATCGTTTTCCAGAATCTAGAAGAGATCTTGGAACAGAAATGATAATTAATATACTTTGAATAGATGCATCCTGCCTGAAATTGATTGCATCCCTGAATTCTGAAAAGTTTTGCAAATGTAATCAGAAAATGATTGATCAACTTTTTAAAGGATCAATGGTGAGTGACATAGGTGTTAGAAAACCAAATATACTCAAACATCCTACTTTTCAGGCACAGAAAACGACAAGATTCTGGAAAGCACAAAGTTGTAGAGTATGCTAAATGTGACGTGTGTGGTGGAAGAACCTGGTAAACACTGTCTCATCCAAGTGCTCAAGGTCGGTATCATTAGTGCTAAGTCAAGCTTGTGACATGTGCCCTTGGTACTGTGTGATGAGAATAGAACCTCACTCTGGTCTCCTCACCCAGAAACCCAGAAACCTAGTCTAACCCTGAGACAATAATTAGCTAAGTTCAAATTGGGAGTCACTGTACAAAATCTCCAACTAGTACTCATTTAAATTGTCACAGCAAAATAAAGGAAATTCTGAGAAACAATCACAGATCAGAGAAACCTAAGAGGTGAAGGCTAAGTTTAAGGCAGTATCCTTGTTGAGATTTTGGAACACAAAGAGAATAGTAGGAGAAAATTTAGAAATCTTAAGGAGCGACTAAGATTAGTTAGTATTAATATATTTTGTAATATTAATGTTGATCATTTAGTTGTGACAAATGCACAGATCATAAGATATTAATAGAGGAATCTAGCTTTGTGATAGACAAGGCCTCTCTGTACTGTCTTTCCAACCAACTGCTCTGTAAACCTGAAACTACATGAAATTAAAACTATGTTTTTTAAAGTAAGTTGTTCACACTGAACAAAGTAGAGAAGAATTTATCACATGGCTCAACAGTAGGAAGTCAGGCAGCTAGGCTCATCTGTTCCCACAGTGGGATAGAGCCCTGACTGATTCAGAAAGAATTGTCCTTGTAAGCCTGGGCAGATGTGACCTGGGCAGCCCTGTGCTGCTGATCCCTTGGCTCAGGAAACCAGTGGCCCAGGAAGAGTATTTATCTGGCCTGAGTACCTAGAATGTGGATCTGGATATGATGTGAGGTCACAAAATTCCTCTCTTGATCCTGTCCTTTTAGACTGTCCTATCAATCAGAAAGGATGGATATATTAAATGATATAATTGGAATACCAAAAGTGGTGTGTAAACAACTAATCAAATGGCAATTAAAAGCTATAAAAAAATACTTATTTACTATACAAGGAAAGGGCAGAAGCCCTGGTTAAATAGCAATTTCATGCACATAGGGCGATCTTTGGATTTGATTGGCATGAAGAGGATAATATGGCTAACAAGGTAATTAACTGTAAATTTGGGTTTCATTATTCATACATTCTACATTTGAAGAGAGACATCGATATGCTCCCCAGAGGAGAGTGACCAGGATGAGGACAGTTGTAAACAGTATAGAGGAAGAGATGAAGATATTAACCTGGAATTGACATTTGGGGTAACAGCTGTGGGGCAGCCTGGCAGCTGCATTGGACACCTGCAGAACCACCAAGGAGTAAACCATGCCTTCTTGGACCTCTGTTCCTGGACTACCCTGATCTGAGCATCCTCTCCATGTGGAATCACTTGCTATAGCTAGGGGTGTCTGGAGTTGGCCTTGCTGCCCTAAACCTAGAATCTTCCAGACCAGTTCTTCTCTGCATGAATCACTTTAGTGTACTGTTTAAATGCAGCTTCTGATACAGCAGATCTGAGCTAGGGCAAGAGAGGCTACACTTCTAATATGTCCCCAAGTGAAATCAATACTTCTCAGAGAGGGTTAGGACAAGGTGTTCAGCAAGACATTCAGCAAACAGTAAGTATTTATTATTACTATATTATTATTGTTACCACCAGTCACTGCCAAGGTCTACTTCAATGTGGGTAAACCTCCCTGAATCCAGATGCTGCTTGTCTGACTCTAAATCTTGGCACTGTCTACAGTTCTGTGCTGCTATGCCTTACCCAGAACCCAGAGTAGAGCTTCTCCTTTTCTTGGAGACAAGATTAATTTTGTGTCTCTAGTTACTCAGAGTACATATCCTTTTGTACACACACTGTCCCTCAAGTGTCATCAGTCCGACACACTGTGGCCTGGCCCATCCCCGGCTTCTTCCCCTCCCCCCAGCACTGCCTTGCCTGTGAATTGAACAGACTGTGCTAAGCTCCATAGGCAGAATTATGCCCAGGGGAGCTACAGATAAAAATAACAACATTTCCATAAAAAATATGAGTTCCTCCATAAAAGAGGCTGGGATTATGACCTTCTGTCCCTGCAGGTTCCCAGTGGAGGTTATACCACCTGTCAACGGTCCTGTGACTTCTGTCCAGCCAATGAAGGGAAGAGTAACAGATTTACTGAGAACATCTGTGTATACTTTTAAACAATTTTCAAATACATTGTTACTAATTACTACACAATGACCTACAAAACTTACTCAGCCTCTGTAACAAACTCTGTGCACTTTAGCCAACATTTATGCTCCCACTCTACCCTCCAAGCCCCTGGTGAGCATCATGCTACTCTCTGCTTCTGCCAGTTTTGATTCCTCATATAAGTGACATCCTGCAGCACTTGTCTTTCTGTTCCTATGTGTGTGCACACGTGTGTATGAGTGTAAGAAGATGTGATACATATCTGTCTTAGGGCACTTGGCTTGATTCCTTACCTTGGCCATTGTAAATAGTGCTTCAATAAACATGGAACATGGAAGACACATATCTCTTTACTAATTTCATTTTCTTCAGATGTATACTCAGTAGTAGAATTGTCAGATCATCTGGTAGTTTATTGTAATTTCCATGCTGTTTTCCATAACGGCTATACTAATTTACATTCCTACCGATGGTGAAGTGTTTGCTTTTTTCTGTATCCCCACCTACACTTTTGATCTTGTCTCTTTTTGATAATAACCATTCTAATAGGTGTGAAGTGATAGCCCACTGAGTTTTTAATTTGCATTTCCTTGATTATTTATGATGTTGCACATTTTTCTATACGCTTCTTGGTTACATATCTTCTTTGAAGATATATCTATTCAAGTCCTATGCTCATGCTTTTCCAGTACTGGGAATCAAGCCAGGACCTTATAAACGCTAGGTAAGTGCTTTACACTGAACTATACCTGGTATTACTTTATGTATTGCCCATCGCCTAAGTTTTATTCATGTCATTTGTTTATTTGTTACTGAGGTGTTTGTGTTCCTTATATTTTGGCCACTAACACCCATCAGATGTATAGTTTGCAAATATTTTTTTCCTATTCTATAGGTTGTCTCTTCACTTTGCTGATTGCTTTCTTTGTTGTGCAGAGCTTTATTGGTTAATGAAATCTCACTTATCTTGTCTACTTTTGCTTTTGTAGCTCTGTTTATATGGGTCCATATCCAAAAGTACAAAAACTTTTCCTGATGTTTCCCTAGTTTATAATTTTGAATCTTACATGTAAACTTTTAATCCATTTTGGGTTGATTTTTTAATATAGTGTAAGATAAAGATCAGTTTCATTCTTTTGCATGTGGGTATCCAATTTTCCCAACATTATTTATGGAAAAGACTATCCTTTTCTCATAGTGTGTTCTTGGAAACTTTGTTGAAAATGAATGGACCATAACCATAAATATGGATTTATCTGTTCTTTCTATTCTGTTTCACTGGTCTACATGTGGGGGTTTTTTTTAATGCCAAAACCATGCTGTTCTGATTGCTATAGCTTTATAGTAGATTTTAAGATCAAGAAGTGTGATGCTTCCAGCTTTGTTGTCTTTGGTTAAATTTACTTTGATGATCCAGGGATAATTATAGTTCTCTAAGAATTTTAGGACTTTTTTCTACTTTTGTGAAAAATGACATCAAAATTTTGATGACATTTCTTTAAATCCATAGATTGCCTCAGGCAGTATGGACTTTTTTTTAAGATATTAAGACAAAATCAAACAAAAATAAAATAAAGGCAAACAAAACAAAGCAATGAAATCAATACAGGAGTTCAAAACAAGATAATAAGAAATCAATAATAGCTACAATAACACATCTTGTTATCTTCAAAATAGCTGTCTAGATCATCAAATATAATAAAACCAAACAAAACAAAACAATGAAAATGATACAAGAGTTCAAAACAAGATAATAGGAAATTCACAATGGCTAGCATAATTTTATTTATTTATTTGTTTGTTTATTTATTTTATTTTGTACTGGGAATTGAACTCCCCACCTCACACTTGTCAGGCAGGCACTTATGCTGCTGAGCTAAATCCCCATCTGTAGTCTTGTTACCTTAAAAATAACTGCCCATACCATGAGACATATGCATATAAAATTAACCAAGCAATACAAAGAACTAAGTTGAAGTTTCAGGTGTGTGATTTCTACTACGTCTGTGTCTCTTAAACTTGTTCTGGTTGGGCTGGAAGTCTAAGATTGTATTTTGCTCCTTCATCTTGACATATTCCTGTCAAGATGAATCAGCCCATTGTTGCATCCCAGGCATTTCTTGCATTGGCTGCCAGTCCCTTGGTGCAGGAATTGAACTGGGTTCCTCAGAGCCATGGATTCCTGGAGTGGTGGAGAGGCGTCAAGCAGAGATTCACCAGCGTTCTCCCAACTGGTGGAGGAGCCTCTTCCTGGCTTATTCTCAGGCAGTCAGGAATCACAGAGACACTGGGCCTGGGATGGAGCCTCTGAACTTGGTTTCTTTTGGGGACAGGGGATTGGATCTAAGCTATTTCTTTGTAATGAATTGACCATTGCATTTCCAAAGTTCTAACATGGCCAATAGACCCTAGAAAAATTTCTCTTTAGGCATCTGTTTGAAACCAGCAGCTACAACAAACTGCTGGCCTTGATTCAGGGCCACAGAATTGGCATTTTAACAATGTTTCTTTCCATTCAAGAACATAAACTATCTTTGCACTTATTTGTACACTTTCTTTAATGAATATTTTAGTTTTCCACATAAATTTATTTCTAAGTATTTTATACATTTTTGATGCTATTGTAAATTGGATTCTTTTCTGTTTCTTTTCTTAATAGCTAATTCTTAGAAATATTGTTGATTTCTGTATTAATCTGGTATCCTGCAATTTTACCAAATTTATCTGTAAGTTCTAATAAGTTTGGGGGGGTCTTTGGGATTTTCTATATATAATATGACACCAGCAAATGGATACAGTATAACTTTTTCCTTCACCACATAGATTTCTTTCTTTTTGTACCTAGTTTCTCTGGCTAGGACTTGCACAGATATGTGGAGTAAATATGATGAAAGAGGGCATTCATGTCATGTTTCTGATCTTAGAGAACAAGGTTTCAATTTTTCACTAGTGAGTGTGATTGTAAGTATGACTTTGTAACCAGGGACATTGGCTCCTTCTTTTCTTTTCTTGTGCATCTTTGTCTGGCTTTGGTGTTAGACAAAATGTGGCCTCATAAAGTAAATCTGGAAGCATTTTCTCCTCTTCAAGTTTTGGAAGAGTTTAAGAATGATGGGTATTTGTTATTTAAATGCTAGGTTAAAATCACTAGGGAAACCATCAGATCTTGAGCATTTCTTTGTTGGGTTTTGTTTTGTTTTGATTACTGACTCAATATCCTTATTTTTTATTGATCTGTTCAGGTTTTCTATTTCTTTATGATTCGGGTAAGGAATTTTTTAACAGTAGAAAAGGGAAAGGAGAATATCAGAGATGGTTCCCAGCTTTAAGAGGCATCTTGGTTCAGGTTCTCCTGAAAACATAAACTCAGAGGCAAAGATCTGTGGACAGAATTGCACCTGAAGAGACAGCGTCACAGGCAGAGCAGAAAGCTGAATTGTGGAGCACACTTCATAACAGCCTCCGTGAGTCAGGTAGCAAGATACAACCCCAGGAAAGCCCTTCGCCTTCGTCCTCCAGCACACCCATCAGCAACTGTCCTAGGAGTGGGTATGACCTAGAATAAGGTAGGGAAGGTCCTTTCATTTGGGGATAAATTCTCAAGAGGGACTCAACTGAGGGCCATTAATGAGCAACGCTCCCAGCTGCTGGAAGACAGTGCTTTGGTGCTGCTGGTGCAGATGCCTGGCCTAGGCATCCACTATAAACTGCTGCTGTGGAAGAAAGTGAGGGAGAAGCTAGTTGGAGGAGAAATTGACTAGGTCAGCTAAAAGCAGATATCTAAAGGAGAGTGAAGCACATTAGGCTGTTAGAAATTGAACATCGACTCTTTTATACTCTGAAACAACTTTTACAAAATGTTTTTAATATTCACATTCAAATTAATATGGTTTTGGCTGCCTGATATGGATCAATAGGGCACTAAATGTGGATTTACACACAAATAGCTCTATGGGCCTGTGTAGCCAATAATATGTGTTATTAAAGCTCCCTAAATACGTATTTACAGAGATGAACCAAGCATCCTGCCTTTCAAGGTTCCCCCAATGCTTGTTGGGCCTCAGCGGTCCAGGAACAACTTCATACAGCAGGAATAAAAGAAATGGAACTTTCAGTGAATATCGGTCTAAGAAGTCTGCAAGAGGAATTTCCGGGCCAGCTGAGGAAGACTTCACATTTCATCTCTTGCACATCAATAGAATTAGTTCACTGATAGAATGTATGTTCAACTTCATCACTGTATAGTTGAAGAATCTGAGAGGTAAAGGAATACAAGGAAATTTGGCACAGAATAGGTAGGAGATTCCAGACCAGAGGCCCCAACACCCATCTCCTTGTTTATTACAATGAAGTGAAGAAACACTGAAACCCCCGTATGCCTCTGTATGCCCTGCATGTAAACTAGGGCAAACTGCTTTATTTCTTGGTACTTCAGTTTTCTCTTTTGAAAAATAGAAGTAATAAATAATATCTGCCTGGTGCAGTTCTCTATGGCTTGTGTCTGACTGTTCCCCCAAAGCCTCATGCAGTCTAGTTGGGGCTTTTTCAGAGGTGACTGAATCTAGAGTGTAAATGCTGGGATTGATTAATGGTGCCATGCGAGGCTTAAGGGCACTAGAATTAAGGGTGTGAGTGCTACCTGACCTAGATAGTCTGGATAAGACAAAAGGTATAGAAAGACACTGTTAAGATCCCTTGTTGCTTCTGTCTGAAATGAACGGTTGCCTCTCTGCCATGTGCCACCTGCCTTGAGCCAGCCAATGATGGACCGAAACCTCTACAAACTGTAAGTAAAATCAACCTTTCCTCCCTTAAACTGTGGATGTTGGCTATTTTGTCTCAGCAATACTAAAAGTAACTAAGACAAGTGTGAAAGATTGAGTAATATAATTTTTGAAAGTATTCAGTCCATGCCTATCTAAAACATTTCAGAAAGGTCATCATTATTATCATGCTGCTCCTTTATACTAGGCTTGCATTATGGTCTGAATTTTTTGTTACTCTAAAAATCATGTATTTAAGTGTAATCCCCAAAGTGATAGTATAATAAGGTGTGGAATTTGGGAGGTCATTAGGTTGTGAAGGTAGAGCCCTTACAAATAGGAGTAGTGCCTTTATAAGAAGAGACATACAAAAGGTAGAGAAATTTTTTCTGCTTCTTCAAATACAAGAAAGGAAGCTATCTGAAAACCAATCAGAATGCTCTCAGTAGAAAGTATATCCACCATTGCCTCAATCTTGGAGATTCCAGCCCCCGGAAACGTAAAAAAGAAATAAATGCTCATTATTGAAGCTATTTAGTCTTTGGTATTCTGTTGTACTGTGAACTAAGTAAGTCAGTTCAAGTTTTTCTATTCATCCTTTTTATTTTTATTTTTATTGGTACCAGAAATCGAATTCACAACCTGGCGCTTGCCAGGCAGGTACTTATGCTGATGAGCTACACCCCCAGCCCCTTATCACCTCATTTATTATTTCAAACAGGGAGATATCTTCCATTTCCAGTGACTGTCAAGAAGAAGTTCTTTCTCCTGCCCTACCTCTGCAGTAGGAGGCTGGGACATAATGATTTCTCCTCTTTATTTATTTAAGAGAAAGAAATGCACAAAAAAATACATGGAGAAAAAAAGCTAGAAATAATACAGAATTACAGAAAAATAAATGGTAAGAAATCACCAGTTGATAAGTTACATATTGTCATCTTAGAAATAGTTGTTCAGGTTACAAAATTAAAGTATGTCAAGTGACACTCAAATAGTGACACTGCCAACAGTTCTGCTCAATGATCTAACAAAAACTTAGTAATATGGTTATCAGTCCTACACACTTGTTTTTTATCTTAAAGAGGGTAAGATTAAACATATCAAAACAACCAAACAGTTCAAAAAGAAACAATTTTTAAAAATATTGATTTCAAAGCAAGTCCATTGGAGATCTTCACTGTTTATCTAATTGTCTCTAATTTTCATCCAAATACTTGTTCCCATCTTCACATACATTAAATACATACTGCATGTTATAGAACTAATCAAATCATTACAGGATGATGAAGGTTTTTTAGGTCTTCAAGATCTGACATTGAGGAAGACAATAATGACTACCATAGTGTCTCTCATTCTCTTCATAGTAGCTGTCCTTATCTTTACATATGCTGAAATTGAACTTAAGAGACTAGACTAATATCACTCTGAACAGTGAATAATAGTATTGCTAGATTTTATATCATAATGTTACAGAATTAGCATTGGGTTTCTTAGTGCCTCTTCTTCTTCAGAGTATCTGTTCATTACATCTTGCATTATATAATGTTCCTGTAAATAGTTTAAAAAATTCTTCCCATGTGTGAATTTCTACATATATATCTATCCTCTCTGTATTATAGGGAAAAACAAATCATAACAAGACAGCAAAACAAATTCCTAGAAAAACATGCAATGAAAAAGACACATAAGACCACAATATTAGGTGATCTACTGTAGTTACTATGCTTTCTCTGATTATTTTCAATAGACTTATCCACATCATCAGGCTTAATATAGTTAGGCATAGTATTACATAGCTATTTTTATAAAAACACAACTTTGAAAACATTGTAGGTCTTGAGAGCTGTTAATAATCAAAACTGGTATGAATATCTTTTACATCTTGTCATCTTCAGAGTAGTGGCCTCTACTTTTAGAGTTGATACTATCAAGCATACCAAATTTAAATAAAATCAGCCAAGGCAAAACCGCGGTCTGTCAAGTCAGATTCAAATAAGATCAAATAAGACAATGTAAGTAATACAAGGTTTCAGTTTAAGTTAATAGGAAATTAAGGATAGTTACCATGGTATAAACTGCTATTTTGGGGTCAGATGTCTATGTCCTCAAATCTGATATGAGTGGACAGACCAGAACAAAATAAATTCAAACTAAACAGAGCGATAAGACTACTGTGACTTTTAAATTCTGATACACTATTAACAGTGACCTCTGCCTTTTCTTTATAGTGTATCAAAGCCAACTATACTAAAGATTATAGCTTACTGTCACTGCCTCATGTCTGCTACTCCACTTTACTGCTATAATTTGTTCACCTTACTCCCTCATTCCACTGTCTGCCCCGTACATTGAGGCCTCTCTGCCACTGTTGCTGGAATCCTGGTATCCCTTCCTCTCTCTGGAATGTCCTTCAGCACTCTCTGTAGGGTTGGGTTGATGGCCATGAACTCCCACAGTTCCTCCTTGTCTTGGAAACATCTTATTTCTCCATTAATTTTGAGAGAGAGTTTTTCTGGGTATGTCAGTCTTGGTTGCAAATTATTTTCTTTCAGGGCTAGGAGTATTTCCCCCCAGGCCCTTCTCAACTTGAGAGTTTGTGTTGATAAGTCTGTTGTTATATTGATAATTTTCCCATTGTAGGTTATCTGCTTCTTTTCCCTTCTGCTTTTAGTATTCTGTTCTTTTGGTGGATTTCCGGAATTTTGATTATTATATGTCTG